ATGCCACCTGTAATGTAAGCAGCATTAGAGCTGGTTAAGCTTTTCACCCATCCTCTTTTTATGGCTTTTTCAACACCACAGGAGTTTGTGGCCAGTGCCAGCTTTCTCTGAAAACGTGATTGAGTTGGGATTGAACAGTATTACTGGGATTTCTAGTCCTGTGCTCTAACCCCTAGGTCATCCTAAACTATGTCTGGCTGTTATGCAGCTTGAATACAAATGGCCTGTACTCTCAGGCCGAATCTCACTCTTGGGCTCGCTAAAGCCTTGTCCTGCTTCATTTTCACATGAAAATTTTCAATCCCATAAGAAATCAAAAAACTAAACGTACAGAAAAATAACACCAAGAGTGTTATCCTCCAACTGGACCGCTGAGGAATCTGCAGAGAGAAACTCCAACTTAAGGGGGAAAATAAATCAGCTAGCTTCCTGCTGACCAAGCATCTGCCCTGAGCAAAAATCGCTCCGCTCATTCATGAATGCAAATGAGACTAATCAGTTTCAATACACAAAGCCTTTATCTTCCCATACAGTAGAAACATAGGTACTCCATTTTTCAAAGGTTAAAAGACAACTCGCCCTGCAGCAAAATGCAGTCTGTATTTAATGTGCTCATTTGTGTACGAGGATTAGCCTCTATCTAAACACAATTAGTTCTGCAGATCAAAATTTTGTGCTCTCCTTAGATAACAAACATTTCCATATTTGCTCGCAAAGCTGCAAGGGCTGGCAGGGCCCTGAACGTAGCTGTTTCTATTGATACCAATTAGTCAAGCTAGGGCGAGGAAGTACAAAGGAAATTATTATTGCCACTTACATTAATAGTGTTAGTGATACCACAACACTGCAGCAAACCTTGTTACAGTCAGAGTTCATTACCAGGAATGAACCAGTGCATCTGGGGTCTTTCTTGGCCATGTGAAAAGGATTAAACCAAAATGTATCACGTGTCGGCTTTAGAGAGTGATCTCTGCTTGGTTCATACCATGAATTTCCCCCTCCCTCCCCGTTATCTTGAGGCTCAGAGAGAAACAGCTCTGCTGCCTTACATGCACTGAACATAATGTCTTGTGGCCTATGGGAGCAGAGTGGTTATGACTCACTATCAAGCATGCAGCGTAATACTCTGCTTTCATTCTGGAGCTGCTGAACTTCAGAGTGCTCCAAAGGGCTCTGATAAAGATGGCTGTGCAGTATCTGATAACTCATTTCAAAGAATAGCCGCAAAAGGAATATGCCTGTATGGTGAATGCTTTTTCTGCTCTCTCTGGGCATGAAGACCACTGGTATAGTGACATATAGATGTTTGCCTAACATGTCCCATGGCAACCCCTGTTCTCAGCTGGAGGATTCTGACAACTTCGGGAAACAGTTTAGGGTGGGCCCCAAGCTGGGGAAGATCAGGGGGAATACCCAAGAAGTTTATGTTCAACATAAGGTGGAGGAGACTGGTGGGTAGCAGTTCTGACTAGACACACCAGGAGGGGTGGAGCAGGATGGGGGTGGGGAGAGACTTGATGTGCGATATGGGGGGCAAGGGCTCGGGGTGAAAACCAAAGGCAGTGTTATCAGCCTCAGGGTTCCAGTTTTAGCCAGTTGTGTGAGAAAAGTAGCCCCAAACTAGCCATTTCAAAAGAATGTCTACTTCTATCAAGTACTTAGTTTGTGACAGTAGGTACAAAAACTACTATCTAGTTTTACTTTTAAATAGCACTAATTTTGTTCAATAATCAACCAAACAGCTGATTAAATAACAACAATTTAATAACTAGTACCCAGAGCCTACTGCAACTCTGTGGTCTAGAGATAGTTATGCTACACACCATCATAGCATCTCTTATCTTCATATGACCATCAGTATGACCTCCTTCACTTCTACGTACTAACCACCCTAGCAACAGTCATTTCGTAGCTGTCATTTTGCATCTCAGAGTTAAAGTTTCTGTCAGTCCTGATCTTTAGTGGTTTGTAATCTCAGCAAAAGCCGCTCCCCCTCCTACGTCAAAATAGTTTCAACGTTCATATACCTCAACAAAATATTTGTTAAATCATATTTACTTGGGATGGGAGGATGCTTTCACCAAAATCCCATATCTTCATGTTTGCCCACAAAAGTGTGAGTTACTGAATACTGATGTTGCTATTTTTAAAGCATTTCTTGACATTTAAGTGTGCTGATTTTACACTTGCTCTGAAAAAAAAAAGGAATATCACTCTAAGAGGTATTCTTGGATTGGATGAATGGACTATAAGGTGGATAGAAAGCTGGATAGATTGTCAGGCCCAATGGGTAGTGATCAACGGCTCGATGTCTAGTTGGCAGCCGGTATCAAGCGGCGTGCCCCAGGGGTCGGTCCTGGGGCCGGTTTTGTTCAACATCTTTATTAATAATTTGGATGATGGGATGGATTGAACCCTCAGCAAGTTCGCAGATGACACTAAACTGGGGGAAGAGTTAGATACGCTGGAGGGTAGGGATAGGGTCCAGAGTGACCAAATTGGAGGATTGGGCCAAAAGAAATCGGATGAAGTTCAACAAGGACAAGTGCAGAGTCCTGCACTTAGGATGGAAGAATCCCAGGCACCGCTACAGCCTGGGAACTGACTGGCTAAGCAGCAGTTCTGCAGAAAAGGACCTGGGGGTTACAGTGGACGAGAAGCTGGATATGAGTCAGCAGTGTGCCCTTGTTGCCAAGAAGGCTAACAGCAGTTTGGGATGTATAAGTAGGAGCATTGCCAGCAAATCAAGGGAAGTGATTATTCCCCTCTGTTCAGCACTGGTGAGGCCACATCTGGAGTACTGTGTCCAGTTTTGGGCCCCACACTACAAGAAGGATGTGGAAAAATTGGAAAGAGTCCAGCGGAGGGCAATAAAAATTATTAGGGAGCTGGAGCACATGACTTATGAGGAGAGGCTGAGGGAACTGGGATTATTTAGTCTGCAGAAGAGAAGAATGAGGGGGGATTTGATAGCTGCTTTCAACTACCTGAAAGGGGGTTCCAAAGAGGATGGACCTAGTTCTCAGTGGTGGCAGATGACAGAACGAGGAATAATGGTCTCAAGTTGCAGTGGGGAAGGTTTAGGTTGGATATTAGGAAAAAAATTTTCACTAGGAGGGTGGTGAAGCACTGGAATGGGTTACTTAGGGAGGTGGTGGAATTTCCATCCTTAGCGGTTTTTAAGGCCCGGCTTGACAAAGCCCTGGCTGGGATGATTTAGTTGGGGATTGGTCCTGCTTTGAGCAGGGGATTGGACTAGATGACCTCCTGAGATCTCTTTCAGCCCTAATCTTCTACAATTTTAATGACTATTAAAAGACAGTACAAGGCTACAGTTTATACATCTAGCTCAGATTCTTCTGAACTCCTTATTTGCTCTTTGAAAATGTTAAACGTGGTACTTTCATAGAGTGAAGAATTGTCCTCCTACCAAGCAAGCTGAGAGAGTCCAGTTTTACAAACGTTTTAGAGCTGTATTTTTACATCTTTCAAATAAGCCACATGTCCAAATGTGACATGTATAAACTTCCTTTGAGACAAAAACACACTTACAGTTTCTGTAAAGTGCTTTTAAAGATATCTGGTGGTCGTTAAGAGAAATGACATAGGATACAGCATACTGATTCACCCCACTTCGTCTGTCATTCTGACTGAACAGCAGCCGTTCAGAATATTGGCACAGGAAGAGAGGAAGAAACATCAAGGATGTAACTGTCAGGCGAGCCCTCCAGGAGACCTTGAGTAAAGGAAGTTTTAGTGAATGATCATTATTAAAGAGAGAATTTACCTTGAGAGATTTTAATTTTGAATAAAACATAAAGAGCTAAAGGACCTTCTCCTCAGAGGCCATCTCCTTCCACTGAAGAAGTCAGTGATCTTGACTGCAAAAAGCAATAAACAAATGTTGGTCTAGATTTTCTGAGGTGACTAGTGATTACATGTACTCTGCTTAACAGAGCTCATTTCCAGAGGATGGGTGCTCAGCACTTTCCAATCTCTTCAGGTAGTCTCAAGTTGGAGACTCAGAAATAAGGTACCCAAAATCATTCGGCACTTCTGAAAGTTTCTATTATTGTATTTTAATCTCACTCTTCCTTCACAGGGACAGGCTTTCTGGATGCTGCCAGATCTGCATGAAAGTTGTTAGCACTGAACAGACCGTTGCTGTACGTTTCAAAGCAAATACAATCTTTGTGGGGCTGGTTGTCAACCCAAGTGCAGCACTGGTCCCCTATGTGTTACCCAAGCCCCCTTGGCCCTGTGTTGCAGAATGGGTCTTACTCAGGCAGGGGCCGGAAAGTGAGAGTGAACCCAGAGGTTAGGTGAGCTAGCGTGTTTGCCATTCAGACTCCCCCATCACAGACAGGGGTGCCACAGAGGCTACCTAGCTACTGCACATGCCCACCCCAAACCCTGCCCCCCCAAATTCCAGTGTTCCAGACAAACAGTCCACCTTCCCTCCCCATGCCTACACACAGCCCAGTGCCCTCCCCCAGCCTAGCTCCCACCAGTGCCCCCCTTGGCCTACTGAGGGGAGGGGACGACAGGTGCCATTGTCCCACTCAGCTTCCCCTCAGTCTGAGTGGAGCCACCTCCCTGGCCATGGCCAGAACTTGCTGAGTCCTCCCTCCTCCAGGTTGGACCTGAGCCAGGCCTGAGCTCACAAAGCAGTTGTCTGAGGTGAGGAGGATGGAAGAGGCATAGCCTGCCCCACGAGGAGTAGTCCTGCGTTCTCCACCAACCCAGTAGATAGCTCTTGTGTGGGTGGCCTTGGGGGGCTGGGTGAGGAGCAGAGCCTTGGCTTGGCTTAACACGGAACCGAGTACAGCTAGCTCTATTCCGCAGACAGCAGCTCCAAACAGGGATGCAAACCGCAATCATTTTCCCCTGCACGATCTGGTTAACAAGAGCACCTGCCTCGCAAACAATTTCAATTACTAGGGGACAAAAAGCAGCAGTGCTCCTAAATTCTCCCCGTCAATAAAGCAACGGAGTGAGGCTGAAAAAACAAACTGTATTTATTCTGCCATTTCAAGCAATTGTGTCAACGTGTTAGAAAGCAGCTCGTTTAGCGATTACCGCAGCGTGAGGTGGACTGGAGGTTAAGCGGCATGAAATGAGAAGTGACTGCCACTGCTATTCAATCAACAGGAAAGACTGCTGTGTGATATAGACTCCATTACAATTCCAGAGGAGTGAAGGGGGGTTGCCTTCTTGTTGGCAGCGCACGATTCTCTGCGACAAAAGGAAAGGGAAAATGACAATGGATCTCCACACATACCATGACGCTTTCAGACACACTGGCCTTTCCTGGCATAGTGCGAAGACAGGAGTAGCAGTGTTGCCTAATGGACTGGGAATTAGACTAAGGGTCTGTCTGCGTTCCAGCCGGGAGTGTGAATGGGCAGCTCATGCAGACAAACCCGCGCTAGCTAACATGCTAAAAATCGAAGTGAGGCACCACGGCCCAGGCTTCAGTGCAGACGACCCCCCGACCCACGGCGTCTGTACTCTCCTGGGCAGCCAGTGCTCAACCCTGTGCTGCAGCTTCTTCACTGCGAATGGTAGCAAGCTACCTAGAGTACAGCTTACACAGGTACATCGACATGAGCTGCCTTTCACACCCTCGGCTGCCACCTAGATGTCCCCTGAGACTCAGGCCACCCGACTTCTCTTTCCAGCTCCGATGGTGACATGCTGAGGAACCCTGGGAACTCATTTCAGCTTCCTGGGTCTATTCCCCTTCCGACTCTATCTATTTAGATCAAACGTTGAGCTGGTCAGGAGTTTTCTGATGAAATGCCTTTCCAGTGGAAAACACCAGCTCAACAAAACCAAAACGGTTTATGGAAAAGGGTCAGTTTTGACCCATCTCCCGATACAAAAAGCTAACGCTTTCTGGCTGGCAAGCCATGTCAGCTATATTTATAGCTACAATCTATTTTATATTTAACAAGACATTCTAGGCTATGAATCATAGACTATCAGGGTTGGAAGGGACCTCAGGAGGTCACCTAGTCCAACCCCCTGCCCAGAGCAGGACCAATCCCCAATTTTTGCCCCGATCCCTAAATGGCCCCCTCAAGGATTGGGTTTAGCAGGCCAATGCTCAAACCACTGAGCTATCCCTGGGTTCTCAGATGTTTCATTCACAGGCTAGAAATCCCTCTAGCCTGGATCCAGCCCTTTTACCCAGTTCAGTCCATTGTGGGGCGGGAGGGATAGTTCAGTGCTTTAAGCATTGGTCTGCTAAAGCCAGGGTTGTAAACTCAATCCTTGAGGGGGCCATTTAGGGATCTGGGGTAAAAATTGGGGATTGGTCCTGCTTTGAGCAGGGGGTTGGACTAGATGACCTCCTGAGGTCCTGTCCAACCCTGATATTCTATGCATTTAAGGATGACTTACTTTTTTGGTGATCCTTTGGTCTTCTGCCCTAGAACGCTGCATTAAATATGATGTTATCAGTCCAAAATACCCCAACTGTTTTAGCTTGATGCATATATAAAACTATAGTACTAAGGCATTCTCATGATGCAATATACATTTCAGGCTTTAGAGACACTGTTCGATAAATAGGAACATTTCTCTTTTTATTCTTTTTCATCTTGACTTCTAATCTTTATCATTGAGTGCAACTCATTGGCAGGCAGGCTTCTTGTTAAAAATAACAGCTGATAGAACCCTGCTGCATTCTGGATCCTACTTAATCAGAAGGGAGATGAAAGAGCTGCGTGTGAAAAATAGATTAAACAAGCCAAACGCCAAGCAGGTTACTGACTCGCCTGCTCTAACTCTTCATAGACCTGTGCTTCACAGCTCAGGTTTTATGGACATTTGGAGGGGTTGCTATAGGAACTAAGAGAAAGTAGGGAGCTCACAGCAATTTATGGGATTTTTTTCAATTTATTCATCTTTTTAATGCTAGTCTACACCCCTGAGTGCTACTTGTGTTTAAAATGGAAAGAAAGTGATGACGTGGGAGACATAAATTGATATCTGCGAAGAGGGTAAGAGGTAAAATAAAATTCAAATAAAAGAAATGAGAGATGGAAAAGGTCCCTAGAACAGTGACTAAGAGAATATCGGGTCAGAGCCTCAGCCCTGGTAAATCATAGCTCCACTGATTATGCTGACTTACCCCACTTGAGGACGTGTTCTGTAGAAGCAGACATCTGCATTTGGCCAGGCAAGCAGTTCCAAAGCATAGGGACTTAGGGAAGAAAAGATTCAACACACCCAGTAAGCTACTTTTCTCCCAAACCACCCACGTGCTCAGTAGAAGAGCTGTAATACATGTCCCCAGTCTTTGGTGCCATCTGCACTGAAAAGTGAAACTGTGGCATGCAACAAAAGTCAGAGAGGCATATACTGGAAGGGAATTAAAGAAGACAGAACAAATGTTTCTGCATCCATCACAGCTACTTACTAGGCCAAAAACTAAGGTATATGTGGAAAGTAGGGCTGTCAAGAGATTTAAAAAATTAATCACGATTAATCGAGCAATTAATCACGCTGTTAAACAACAATAGAATACCATTTATTTAAATATTTTTGGATGTTTACTACATTTTCAAATATATTAATTTCAATTACAGCACAGAATACAGTGTACTGTGCTAACTTTATATTTATTTTTATTACAAATATTTGCACTGTAAAAAACAAAAAAAAATGTATTTTTCAATTCACCTCATACAAGTACTATAGTGCAATCTCTTTATCATGAAAGTTGAACTTACAAATGTAGAACTATGTACAAAAAACTGCACTCAAAAATAAAACAATGTAGAACTTTAGAGCCTACAAGTCCACTCAGTCGTACTTCTTGGTCAGCCAATCACTCAGATAAACAAGGTTGGTTACAATTTGCAGGAGATAATGCTGCCTGCTTCTTGTTCACAATGTCACCTGAAAGTGAGAACAGGCATTCGCATGGCACTGCTGTAGATGGCATTGCAAGATATTTACATACCAGATGCGCTAAAGATTCACATGTCCCTTCATGCTTCAACCACCATTCCAGAGGACACGCATCCATGCTGATGATGAGTTCTGCTTGCTAACGATCCAAAGCCGAGTGGACCGACACATGTTCATTTTCACCATCTGAGTCAAATGCCACCAGCAGAAGGTTGATTTTCTTTTTTGGTAGTTTGGGTTCTGTAGTTTTCGCATCAGAGAGTTGCTCTTTTAAGACTTCTAAAAGCACGCTCCAGACCTCTTCCCTCTCAGATTTTGGAGGGCACTTCAGATTCTTTAACCTTGGGTCGAGTGCTGTAGCTATCTTTAGAAATCTCACATCGGTACCTTCTTTGTGTTTTGTCAAATCTGCTGTGAAAGTGTTCTTAAAATGAACACGTGCTGGGGCATCATCCAAGACTGCTATAACAACATGAAATACATGCAGAATGCGGGTAAAATAGCACAGGAGACATACAATTCTCCCTGCAAAGAGTTCAGTCACAAATTTATTTGAAGCATTATTTTTCTGTCAAGCATCATCAGCATGGAAGCATGTCCTCTGGAATGGTGGCCGAAGCATGAAGAGTCATATGAACGTTTAGAATATCTGGCATGTAAATACCTTGTAACACCAGCTACAAAAGTGACACGCGAATGCCTCTTCTCACTTTCAGGTGACATCGTAAATAAGAAGCAGGCAGCAGTATCTCCCGTCAATATAAACAAACTTTTTTGTCTTAGCAACTGGCTGAACAAGAAGTAGGACTGAGTGGACTTGTAGGCTCTAAAGTTTTACGCTTTTTCTTTTTGAGTGCAGTTATGTAACAAAAAAAAATCTGCATTTGTAAGTTACACTGTCACAGTAAAGAGCTTGCATTATAGTACTTGTATGAGGTGACTTGAAAAATACTATTTCTTTTGTTTATCATTGTTACAGTGCATATATTTGTAAATGTAACCCTTCTGCCCGTCAGAATTGGCAGCAACAAGGGCCGGGTTCAGTATCTAGGGGTTCCATTCCAATAACACAATGCAAACCAGCTCGAACCCCCACCCAGTGACCTGGGACAAATATATACCCCACCCCCCCGCTAGGCACCTCTAAGAGGCAGTACTTCCCCTCTGAAAATCACAGAGTCTGAGTGTAGCAAAAGCCTTTTAATAACAGAGAGAAACAATGGGGCATTATGTTGGGGGAACACCACCAACAGGATTCATAACACAACCCATGAGCAAAAACCCATCCCAAGCAAATTGGGCTGTGTTCTTTCCCTTTGGTTCTTGAGTCCAGCAACCCAAAAGTTGTCCAAAGTCCCAAAAGTCCAACAACCCAAAAGTCTCTGTCCCTGGTCAGTGCAGCCCCAGAGTTCGAAAATTTATCTGCAGAGTTTTACCTCCCAACCTGGGTGGAGGTGGGAGGCTTAAGGGGCCCCTTACATGGTCTGAAGCTGATTGCCCCACCATGGGGCTCCGCTCCACTCTACCAGCCATCCCACAAATCACTCTGCTCTGCCAGCCCACCCCCAACAAACTGCTCCGCAATATATCTTCAGGCTCCCCCACTACTTAACACAACACTCAGTGATTTCAGCTCTTAGTAATTTTAGCTCTTTTGTGATTTCAGCTTGTAGTAGGAATAGCCTCAGTGTTGGTACACCATTGGCCCCAAGTGAATTCAGCTCAGCAGACTGTGACTAGACTCATAATAGAATCAAAACTAGCTCTGACATTCTACAGTGGCGAGACAAGAAGGTGCAATTAGCATGTTGGGCCCTCACCACCAGGTATTAATACCTATCCCCAGCATCTCTCAATTAATTGTGTTTTGGAACCCATGTACCTTGCCTAGTGAGTGCTACTTAGTTGATGGCGAGTCCCTCCAATATAACAAAAGGCCAAGTACAGTTCCACTGTCCTTGATTCACATAATCAGGATAATAACAATTTATTCTTCCTGCCTCAATAACAGAGAAACTGGGGATCCCACAGCAGCCAAAGTGACCATTTGGGCAGCTATTGGGCTCATGCTAGGCGGGGTGGGTGTGCCTATGCAAATGAGATCAACCCCTGAAGTTCTTTTCCACAACTTGCCACAACTCACCACCAGATGTGATGGTGGAGCTCATCCTGACTCTGCTTACATCAACAAAAATAATAACATATAGTGAGCCCTGTGCACTTTGTATTCTGTGTTGTAATTAAATCAATATTGAAAATGTAGAAAAATATCAAAAAATATTTAATACATTTCAATTGGTATTCTATTGTTATAAGTGTGATTAATTGCAATTAATATTTTTAATTGAGATTAATTTTTTTTAGTTAATCGCGTGAGTTAACGGAGATTGATTGACAGCCCTAGTGGAAAGGAAATGTTTCTTTCCCTGAATGTTACATAAGAAACAGAGTAGAGAGTTCACATAAATAAATCTGCCCCCTTCGTCTCTTCTGTCAGGTTCTCATACCTCTGGCAAGAAAAATGGGCTTAAGAAAGGGACTTGGCGCTGAGCAGGATTAGTTTGGGCAAAGTCCCCAGGCTCCCAGAGGGGCTCCTCTGTGTGTGGCTGTCAAGACTGAAGTCAGTTGTCTTCCTATTTGTTAGCCTCTCATTCCCCTGATATCCTGGGGGACTTTATCTGATCAAGAGCACTAATGGCTTTTTCTTGCTTCTTTCTGTTTCTCTATGTGTAGCTTCTTCTTATGGGCCTGATCCAAAGCCCACTGAAATCAGAGGGAGTCTTTCCACTGCCTTTCAATGAACTTTAGCTCAGACTCTCAAGGTCTACCAAATTGATTTGGCAGGAGGTTGCTAGGGGAGCCCATCTGCCCACTGAGGACTCCTTATGTCAGCCCAGTGTGGAGCTGTTGATGAAGTGGCAATGTATCACTCTTCTTAAATGAGTCCTAGACAGCTGGATGTGGAAGCTGAAGCTACAAGACTGAAGGATTGAGGTGTTTGGCCAAATTCAGGCCTGTGGTTAGACTATTAACATCAGTTGGAATGTTAATCTGTTATGCCAGGCCAGCATCTGAGACACAGAACATGGTTGAGAAGATCCTCCTGGCTAAGCAGCACCCAGCCGCACATAGCACTGGGATGGAGAGATCTGGTAAGATGGGAAAAAGAGAGGAGACACCTGAGATAGAAAATTACAGTGCAGGTTGGTGGGACAAACTCTTTGGTCACTCCATTACAAACCTAAAACTTGCAATTCTTCAACAAAAAAAAACTTCAAAAACAGACTCCAACGAGAAACTGCTGAATTGGAATTAATTTGCAAACTGGATACAATTAACTTGGGCTTGAATAAAGACTGGGAGTGGATGGGTCATTACACAAAGTAAAACTATTTCCCCATGTTTATTCCCCCCCTCTCCCACTGTTCCTCACATGTTCTTGTCAACTGCTGGAAATGGCCCACCTTCATTATCACTACAAAAGGTTCTTCCCCCCAACCTCCCCCCGCTCTCCTGCTGGTAATAGCTCACCTTTCCTGATCACTCTCACTACAGTGTGTATGGTAACACCCATTGTTTCATCTTCTCTGTGTATATAAATCTCCCTCCTGTATTTTCCACTGGATGCATCCGATGAAGTGAGCTGTAGCTCACGAAAGCTGATGGTTAAATAAATTTGTTAGTCTCTAAGGTGCCACAAGTCCTCCTTTTCTTTTTGAGAAGAAACAGACACATGGGGAAAGAGTCAAAGCTATAAATCAGATTGTTCAGAAAGCTAACAAGAGCTATGAATAAATGAGGGTGGGGGAGAGAGAGAGGTCCTGTTCAAGAAAGGCAAACTCAGTGGGTGCAGAATCAGATCAGGTCACAGAGCTCCAGACACATTTGTCCTCATACCACAATAGGGTCAGATCTACTGGGAGCTGAGGGTACTTAGCACCCTGTAGGATTGGGCATGTAATGATATGTTTACATGCAGTGTATTCAGCCACTGGTTGTGTCTGGGTGCTACATAGAATTCCAAACAGGGTGTGGTGCCTGGTAAACAAGGGAGACAAAGCTGGGACTGGAGCTCTGTGGAAGGCTATTTACTGGTGTCTCTGGTTGTAGCTGTTTTCTGTAATAAATGCCTCTTGTTTAAATCAGACTCTGATTCTATATATCGAGGCACTGTCCTTATTTTGTATCAGGCACAGTTTAGTTTAAGAAATACAAAAGCATATGTAATGCTTGTGTGATGAATATTTGCTGGAATGGTTGTCTAGGAGAGAGTCAGTGGTTCAATTAACAATCTGTTTAGACTATTTCAGCACTTAA